GTCCACTCTCACGGATCTCGGGGTTGCCCTTGGCTGGCTGGGCACCTGGTCATGACTCCTCCCCCTTGGCTCCACGTTGCAAACCTCCCTCGGTACTCCTCATTACCACCTTGCTGGCTGAACCCCACCCTGCTTTGGTGGGTTCAGCCAGTTTGGTGTCGTGGCCAAGAGCGGCGGACTCTGATCTGGAGAACCGGGTTGGATTCCCCACTCCTCCATATGCAGCCGGCTGGGTGACCTTGGGCCAGTCACCATTCTCTCGGAGCTGTTCTCTCAGAGCTCTCTCAGCCCCACCTACCTCACAGGGTGTCTCTTGTGGGGAGGGAGGGGAGATTCCCCACTCCTCCACATGCAGCCAGCTGGGTGGCCTTGGGCCAGTCACCGTTCTCTCGGAGCTGTTCTCTCAGAGCTCTCTCAGCCCCACCTACCTCACAGGGTGTCTGTTGTGGGGAGGGAGGGGAGACCGGAAGCTGCTCTGAGTGAAGGTAAAGGTAAAGGTTCCCCTTGCTCGAAAGCCAGTCGAATCCGACTCTAGGGTTGCGGTGCTCATCTCCGTTTCAAAGCCAAAGAGCCAGCGCTGTCTGAAGACGTTTCCGTGGTCATGTGGCCGGCATGGCTAAACACCAAGGCGCACGGAACGCTGTTACCTTCCCACCGAAGTGGTACCTATTTATCTACTTGCAGTTTCTTGCTTTCGAACTGCTAGGTTGGCAGGAGCTGGAACTAGAGACGGGAGCTCACTCCATCATGCGGCACACTCGGGTCTCGAACTGCTGAACTACCGACCTTCCACAGCCTGCAGTTCAGCGTCTTAACCACTTGAGCCACCGCAGCTCCCTAAGTGAAGGGCGGGGTCTAAATCCAGCTCTCCTGCTGCTACTGACTCCCTGTTTCCTCTGTCCTTCCCCATAGTCCCCCGCGCAGTACAGGCTCATTGAGAGGGATGCTCTCAAGCTGGCTAAAGAGATGCAGGCGGAATATTGGGCTGTCTCATCACTCACAGGTGAGCTGGCTGGGGCACGTAGGCCAATGGGGCACCTCCATGTCGCCCCCCCCCCCCCCCGTCCTTTGTCCCCTCTTCCCAAGATGTCCTCCCGCACGTGGCTGGCTGCTGAAGGGGGTTGCTTTGTGGCCAGTGCTACGTTGCTGCTTGAGGAAACCTGCAGTGGTGTGAACATCTGAAGCTGCCATTCCCTGGCAGATTGACAGCCTCCCTAATGGCTCAGGGTTGCCCTATGTGGTCATCGTACCCACGTGCCGGTGGGGTTTGGGCAAGTGATTTCCCGCCTCCTTGCGAGTTTGGTGTAGCAGGTAGGAGCGCGGGCTCTAATCTGGGAGAACCGGATTTGATTCCCCATGCCTCCGCCTGCAGCTGCTGGTGTGACCTTGGGTCAGTCACAAGTTCTCTCAGAGCTGTTCTCTCAAGAGCAGTCCTCGAAAGAGCTCTCTCAGCCCCGCCTCCCTCACGGGGTGTCTGTTGTGGGGAGGGGAAGCGAAAGGAGATTGTAAGCCGCTCTGAGACTCTGAGTGAAGGGCCATGGGGTATAAATCCAATCTCTTCTTCTCTCTCTGCCCCACCTACCTCACAGGGTGTCTGTTGTGGGGAGGGGAAGGGAAAGGAGATTGTCAGCCGCTTTGAGACTCCTTCGGGTAGTGAAGGGCTATGGGGCATAAATCCTATCTCTTCTTCTTCTCTTCTCCTTACAGGTGAGAACGTGCGGGAATTCTTTTTCCGGGTGGCGGCGCAGACCTTTGAGGGCAGTGTGCTGGCGGAGCTGGAGAAGAGCAACGCTCGCCGGATCGGCGACATTGTGCGTAAGTGCCACGCTGTGTGAGGACAGCCAGCCCCAGATCATGCCCTGCTCCCCTCTCACACAGGGCAGAGGCTAGAGCCCCTTGGCCTCCCCACAGTCAATGCCGCAGCTGATATCGAGCAGCTCTGGTAAGCCAGGTTCTGTCTAGTCCGTGCTGGAGACAGAGCCACCGATGTTCTGCCCCCATTTCTGCAGTTCATAGAAGTTATAGATTGCCTAAGCTGGCACAGGGGTCTCCAACATGGTGCCCACCAGTGCCTTCCCTGGAACCTACCAAGTGCTTTCAGAAAGCGGGCAGGACTAGGTAGGGCTGCTGCCCAGGAGGGCTTCTGATTGGCCTCCTGTTCAAGAAGTGATTGTATATATACCCCACCCTTCACTCAGAGTGGCTGACAATCTCCTTTCCCCTCCCCACGACAGACACCGTGGGAGGTAGGTGGGCCTGAGAGAGCTCTTTCAAGGACTGCTCCAGAGATAACAGCTCTGAAAGAACTTGTGACTGACCCTGGGTCACACCAGCAGCTGCATGGGGAGGAGTGGGGAATCAAACCCAGTTCTCCAGATTAGAGTCTGTGCTCCTAACCACGACGCCAAACTGGCCCTCAACAGAGCTTCTGCCTGAAATGTTGAAGAGTTACTGTCAGAGGGACATATAACCTTGCTGCCTGACATCTTGTGGTTGGCTTCATCTTCTGCAGCAGCCATTGTACGATTGTGCCTATTTGCTCTGTGTCAGAATCCCAAAGGTCCCCTTAGACTCGAAAGGTTGGGGACCCCTGAGCGAGCATCATCCTGCCATTTTGCACAGTTCTGCATACTTTGTTTTGCTCTGCCAGTCATGGGGGGGGGGGAGTAATGAGGCTCTGCAGGCCCACCCGCAACAGTGGGAACTTTTGTGGCCATCTTCTTCACTGGCTCCCGCAGGTGCAGTAGCAATTCCCCGCCCACCCACGCGCAAGTACAAATGTTGCCTGTTTTTCTTTCATTTTGGCCCTTTTTACTGATTTTTCTCTCCAATTAATGTTTTATTGTATTTTTGTGAATGATATGCAGTATATCAGTAAGAAAATATTCAACATATACAATTGATTTTGTAATCAGGGAGGTAGTACAAAGAGAAGAGGTTATGAAAAATTGTAGCTATATAGGTAAAGGGTAAAGGTTTCCCTTGCTCAAAAGCCAGTCGAATCCAACTCTAGGGATGCGGTGCTCATCTCCGTTTCCAAGCCAAAGAGCCAGCGCTGTCCACAGACATTTCTGTGGTCATGTGGCTGGCATGACTAGACGCAGAGGCACACTAACGCTGTTACCTTCCCACCGAAACGGTACTTATTTATCTACTTGCAATTTCTTGCTTTCGAACTGCTAGGCTGGCAGGAGCTAGGGCCAGAGACAGGAGCTCACTCCGTCATGCGGCACTCGGGTCTCAAACTGCTGAACTACCGATCTTCCGGTCTGCAGTTCAGCGTTGTAACCACTTGAGCCACTGCAGCCTTGTAGCTATATAGGGACACTAAATTACAGGATATAAAGGCTAGAATATAGATTTCACCACAAACAAAACTCATCAATCAGTTTGGGGGTTTCCTGCCGAGAATGTAGATATTCCAGAATACCTTTGCTGATGTTTTTAATGATTTGCTTCTTTCAGTGCTGCAAAGCTTCTAGATGCAGTGGGTGAAAATAACCTTACAAGCTGCATAGAGTTAATAAAGAGGGGGAAATTTGGCCTGAGGAAGTAGAAAATAGTAACGAATTTCACATTACCCAGTTTCACCCGGTTTCAAGCCGGTAATGATCTGTTTTAAAGTCAACCGGTACAGGGCTGCCATTTCACACAGGGCTTTCCCCTTCCGGTAAAGAGCTGGATCTGAAACGATTTGCCATTTCAGACTGCACCGCTTTCCCCCCGTCATTTTTCGCCCGTGCGGGCGATCTCCGGCTTTTTTTTTTTAATGTTCGCTTTAGAGCGCTATAGCGCTATAGCAGTATAACAAAACACTCCATGCATTCCAATGGGATTTGCATTCCAATGGGATTGATATAATGCTATTCCGCTATAGTGCTATAACGCTATAAAGCGAACGTTTTTTTAAAAAGCCGGAAATCGCCCGCGCGGGCGAAAAACGGCGGGAAAAAGCGTATCGGAACCAGGAGAGGGAACTGAAGACTACTTGGAAGCAGTTGACAGGTAAAACGCTTCAGTCCCAATTCCTAAACGGGACAGAAGCGTTTGTGTATGAAATGGCAGATATATTCCGGAAGGGAACCAGTTCTCAAACGGGTTGTGTCTGAAGTGACAGACCAGAAACCGTTTGGGAACCGTTCCTCTTCCAGAATATATCGCCTGTCTGAAATTCCTCAGTATTAAAATACAGGTGTGATTTGCACAGGGGAGGAGGAGAAAGAACCTGGGGAGCGGCGCAAAAAAGGCAGGGGGGAGCGGCGCAACTTGGCAGCCCGCCTCCTTCCGTGTGCAACTTGGCAGCCGCGAGGCCGAGGTGCTTGCTTTAAAAAACAGAGCCCGAAATGGGTGCTGACCAGTGTTCCCTCTAAGCTGAGTTAGTGTGAGCTAGCTCACAGTTTTTTGTCTCAGCTCAGGAAGGGATGGGGCTCCAGAGCAGACTAATTTAGGCAGCAGCCCAATCGCTCGCTCACCACTTTCATGCCAGCGGCTCACAAAGTAGAACTTTTGCTCACAAGACTCCACAGCTTAGAGGGAACATTGGTGCTGACCTGCTCTGGATGCTGAGGTCGGAACCCAACGGCACCCCCAGTGCTGCCGTTGCCCTTTGCAGAATCGAGCTGTCCCCGCAGCCTTGCAGACCGGGGTGTGGCGGGCACGGGATTTGGGCCGGATTCTGCGTCGCTGAGATCGCGCCTTGTGTCCTCTCTCCCAGGGATCACTAGCAACGAACGGGACTTATACCTGACCCAGAAGAGTCGGCGCGCCAAATGCTGCCAGTGATGGAACCCGCTTGGACCCCCATCGGCCGCCTCGTCTTCGCACTGAACTCGTTCCGATACCAAAGGACAGCAGCTCCACCCCCTCCGCCCCCCCCCCACCCTGCGAGCTGAGCAGCCCCCTATTTCTGTGGCTGGCGACCGGCAGGCAAGCGAGGGATGCCCTCGTATAGGAGAAGCCCCTCCCGGCCTCCGTTTTCCTCTTGGGCCCAGCCGAGGCTCTGTGTCCTCGTTGCATGTCACTCCCTCCCTGGTTCTGGCACAGTCTGAGAACGGGCACTGCCCTAGCCAGCTTCTCCTGCCTGTGCCCGTTTGTAGGTCCCAGTAGGTCTGCAGGCGAGGGATTTAGCCAGAATCAGCTTGCCCCGCCCCTTGGCCTGTACTCCTGCCCGTCGGTAACCTCGGCTCTTGCCCCAGTCCCTTGCCTTCCGGATGGACAGCGACAGGAACCATCCCAGAGATCCCAAGAGCTCCCATCGGCTCCGGCATGCCAACTGCCACGGGGAGCCCCAAGGACTGTGTGTTGGTGGGCCCGGGTTTTCCAGCCATGAACTCCGGGAGATGCTGTCCGTCATGGCTCTGGCAGTCTTCCCTGAAGGAACATGGAACATCCCGTGCTGTCCCATGAACCAAGGAGCAAAGCCTCACCACCACACCCCCCCCCCAGGGCAACAGCAGCAGGAGACCCACGCCATCTTCGGCCCTCCATTCCTCCAAATCCGGCAACATCACAGAATACCGAACCACCTCCAGCACTTTATACATTCCTAATGGTGAGAATAATCACAAGAACAACGATTCACGCTGGTTTATTGATTTCTGCCAGGGCTGGTTAGCCAAGCGTCGTTACGGTGGCTTCTGTTTGGGAGCGGGGGAAGCTGCACCTCGGAAGCTTGAAAAGACCTTGGGTGGGGGGGATAGGGTTGCTATCTCCCCAGTGGGAGCAGGTTTCCCCCACTTTTGGGCCCCCCAATCCTCCGCCAGCCAGCTGACCGGCGGGGGAGCCCCAACGTGCCCAGTGGAATGACGTCACCTTGTGACATCATCACGCCAGGCATGTCGCACGGGGGACGCTCTAGCATTGGGCTAGAAATTCTATGGTGACCATAGAGTTTTTGGTCAAATGCTAGAGCATCCCCTGCACAATATGCCTGGTGCGATGATCCAGGAAGCCGGGCTGGAGCCCCCTGCCGGCAGCCAGACAAGACCTGGCATCCCTCGGGGGAGGAGAGCATGATAGGAGGTGGAGAAAGTGGATACAGAGGGCCTTTTCTCGCTCCCACAAAATTCTAGAACTCAGGGGCACCCAATGAAGTTGAGGGGCAGTGGAGTTTGGAAAGTACTTCATGCAATGCAGGGTTGGGTCCGGTTTAAGTTTTCCTCTAATGGAAGATGCTTCCGCCCGTGGAACGCAACTCTCCCGTCTCCCCCCTCCTGCATCAGCCCATCGATCTCCCTGAAATGCTGCTCTTGTGGGTCAGGGAATCCCCAGGAATGGCGTAACGGGCAAATGGTAGGGTGTATGCCGCAGGAAGACTGCCAAAAATTACACCACCCCTTCAATGCTCCCTCTACGCGGTGGAGTCCTGTGAGCAAAAATTCTACTTTGTGAGCTACTGGCATTAAAGTTGTGAGCGAATGATTTGGCGACTGCATAAATTGGTTTGCTCTGGAGCCATCCTTCCTCAGCTAAGACAACAATGTGTGAGCCAGAGGCTAAAAAACTGTGAGCTAGCTCACTCTAACTTAGCTTCTGTTTGCAGAAAATTAGTATCCAACAACTTGTGGAACTTACCGCCTCAGGTTATAGTGACAACTGCTAGTTTAGATGGCTGTAAAAGGGGATTAGACACGCAGGAGAGATCTACTGATGGCTGTCAGACGTGATAGTGAAAGGGGACCTCCGGAGGCAGTCTGCCTCTGAATGCCAGTGGCGGGGTGCGTGGCAGCAGAGGGAGTCTTTTGACAGACTCTGTCGCTGCTTGTAGGCCTTCCGGGATATCTGGCTAGAAGAAGTCAGGATGCTGGGCTCAGCGGAGGCGCTCTCTTAGGGTCAGGCCTGGAAGTTTTAGTTTGCGGTCCCGTGGTGCGGATTATCCACTGCCACGATGCCAGAGTGTTTGCGCTGGGTGCTGCCACGTCAAGCCAGTTGACCCTGGATGGTGGGGTTGTGCCCCCCACCTCCACTACTGCAGGCCTCATGTGGCGTCAAAGGCCTGGAAGGAGTCCAGGTAGTGAGCGTTGAACTGGGGCATCAGGTGGGGCAGGACGCAGTGGGCCCACTTGTAGTGCTTTTTGAGCCAAGACCCTCCCTCGCTGTCTTCGATGCAGACGGCAGCCACTCCTGCGGGGGGGAAGAAGCAGAGGCAGCGGTCAGCACGAGCCCAGGTGGGGTGGTCACCAGCCAAGGCCCCCCCCCCTCCATACCTGCCACCACGCCTCCTTGCTCTTCCACCAGCCGGACAGCAGCCCGCATGGTTCCCCCGGTCTCCACCCACTGGTCCACCAGCAAGACTCGGAGGCCTGGCAGAAGAAGACACCGCCAAGGCTGTGTTAGCGTGCCAGCTCTTCCGTCCTCCCTGCTTGTGTCATGCCCGCCTCCACCCACCTCGGGGTCCAGATCAGTCAGTCTTGGGGGGCAGGGGGCAGTGTTCCCTCTAAGAAGAAGAAGAAGAGATTGGATTTATACCCCATGGCCCTTCACTACCCAAAGGTGTCTCAGAGCGGCTTACAAACCCCTTTCTCTTCCCCTCCCCACAACAGACACCCTGTGAGGCAGGTGGGGCTGAGAGAGAAGAAGAGATTGGATTTATACCCCGCCCTTCACTACCCAAAGGTGTCTCAGAGTGGCTTACAAACCCCTTTCCCTTCCCCTCCCCACAACAGACACCCTGTGAGGTAGGTGGGGCTGAGAGAACTCTGACAAACTGCTCTTTTTCAAGAACAGCTCTTATCAGAACTACGGCTTGCCCAAGGTCATCCAGCCAGGTGCAAGTGGAGGAGTGGGGAATCAAACCCGGTTCTCCCAGATTAGAGTCCGCGCACTTAACCACTACGCCAAGCTGAGTTAGTGTGAGCTAGCTCACAGTTCCTTAGCCTCCGGCTCACACATTTTTGTCTTCGCTCGGGAAGGAGGGCTCCAGAGCAAACTAATCTATGCCGCAGCCACATCGCTCGCTTACAACTTTAATGCCAGCAGCTCACCAAGTAGAATTTTTGCTCAAAGGACTCCATAGCTTAGAGGGAGCATTGGCAGGGGTGGCTATCCATGCATTCGGGGCGGAGGGTTGGGCACGCTGGCGTTTTGCCCCGTCCCTGTGGTTCTGCCGCCTGGCAGAAACAGGCCAAAAGTTTACCTGGCACGATGGCATCAGTCCGCATCTCCATCAACTTGTCCCGGCCAGAGTAATCCCTGTAAGGTTGGGCGATGGTCTCCACGCACAGGTGCCCGGCTTTGCGGATGGCCACAAACCCCTTCTGTAGGAAGCTGGCAATGGCAGCGCCTGAGGGGAGAGGGAGGTGGGTTCCTGAGGGCTGCTTGGCAGGGGTGGCCAAGAGGATGGAGCATCAGGGCTTCCCCTCTAGAGCACCAGGAAGACCCCCGGTGGAAGGGCCCTGGCAGGACTCCTCCGGCCCTGCCCCTGAGCTGTCTGTGGAGGCCTGTCACATGGCCTCTGAGCCGGTGGAGCTTTCCCAGGGATGGAGAGGAGGTCTGGGAAAACCTTCACCTGCCAGGTTTCTAAGAAGAAGAATAACCCCCACCCCCCGTGAAGATTAATACTTCCAAGATGTTCTTATTATAGTGCATATGGCTCTACAACAATGCACGTCTTAATCACAATAAACAATTCATTATCACTATCAGCAGTCCATTCCAATGACGAATGAAAGTGCCTGTAAGTGTCCTTTCCAAGATTAAAGTGCTCGTGCTGTAGTAAATGGTCCTGTGTCCTTTGTTCTTTCAAATCCAGTTAATTGTGGGTGATTTATGGACATTCTAATGGAGCCTCTGATGGACGTGTCAACCTTTAATTCTGTTTCTTTTCAGCGCTCTCAAAGAGGCAACAGAACAGAATCCATATATCCCAATATCCTTCAAAGGCAGACAAATATTTAGCAAGCACCATTTTCACAAAAGGCCGACAAGTCCGTCAGAGGCTCCATTAGAATGTCCATAAATCACCCACAATTAACTGGATTTGAAATAACAAAGGACATAGGACCATTTATTACAGCACAAGCACTTTAACCTAGGAAAGGACACTTGCAGGCACTTTAATTCATCATTAGAATGGACTGTTGATAGTGATAATGAATTGTTGTGATTAAGACATGCATTGTTATAGAGTCATATGCACTATAATAAGAAAATACTGAAGTACTGAACTTCCCATAGTTATAATTTCACCGTTGTTGTATTTTTTTTTTATTATACCCTGTTCCCGTGGATCTCTCTGTATTATGGTTTCTAAGAATGGCACAAAAGCAGGGCCTCTAAAGAAGTTGGCATCTCTGGTCAGTGGACAAGAGTTAGGGGTTACGTTCTGCTTGGAAGCCATGCCCTGTGACACAGAGTCCTTTGTAATCCTAAGAATGCCAAGCTGGTGGGAAGGAGATCCTGAGAAAGGAATTTATTTTTATTTTATTTATTTATTTGCATTTTTACCCCGCCCTCCCTGCGAACGGGCTCAGGGAATGCACTCTGCTTATGCTCAGAGGCGTCCGCTTGCCACCATTTTGCTCCCTGACCAAGCGCTGCCTTGAGGTTTCAGCTCTGCTGTGTAGAACCGAAGGGTCGGATTCAAGATGGCTTACCTAGAATGAAGCCCATGGCATCGATCCCAGCAACCAGGTCAACTGCCCCATCCTGAAATGGCTGCACCAAGTCCTCGATGCAGTCTTGCAAGGCCTGGGGGAATTGGAGGAATGTCAAGAAGATGCCAAGTTAAAATGGCAGCGACTGGCTGGTGGGATAGTCAACCAATGAGGGGAAAGACCTTTGGTGCTCTTCTGCCTTTGGCAGCGGCTTGATCTGCAAGCGTTAAAACGATCCCCTGCAGATCAAAGGGCCGCTCAAAGCACAGGAGCAAGGGCCAGGTGAAAGGGTGGCACCCCTACCTGCCAGACTGCACGAGCCCACTGTACAACAGAAAACCGCCCTCTCGTACCCATCCTAGCCACGCAGGGATGAAACCAACTGTTGGCATAATTTCCCTTGTCCAATACTCGGGGCACAAGCACGGGCAGGGGAACGGGTACCCTTCTGTAACACTAAAACGCCATGTGAAGAAGACAAGAGAAGAGAAGAGATTGGATTTATACCCCATGGCCCTTCACTACCCAGAGGAGTCTCAGAGGGGCTTACAAACTCCTTTCCCTCCCCCTCCCCACAACAGACACCCTGTGAGGGAGGTAGGGCTGAGAGAGAAGAAGAGATTGGATTTATACCCCATGGCCCTTCACTACCCAAAGGGGTCTCAGAGCGGCTCACAAACTCCTTTCCCTCCCCCTCCCCACAACAGACACCCTGTGAGGGAGGTGGGGCTGAGAGAGAAGAAGAGATTGGATTTATACCCCATGGCCCTTCACTACCCAAAGGAGTCTCAGAGCGGCTTACAGACTCCTTTCCCTTCCCCTCCCCACAACAGACACCCTGGGAGGTAGGTGGGGCTGAGAGAGCTCTTGACAGAAACGGCTCTTTTTCAAGAACAGTTCTTACCAGAACTACGGCTTGCCCAAGGTCATCCAGCCAGGTGCAAGTGGAGGAGTGGGGAATCAAACCCGGTCCTCCCAGATTAGAGCCCGCGCACTTAACCACTGCACCAAACTGGCTCTCACACCCAACCTAGTGGTCCAACCTAGTCTTGGGTTGTTTTTCTGGAGAGAAGGAATGCTGCTCTTTCTGCACTGGGCTCACCCCAAAACAGCTTGGCCCTCTCAAAAGCAACTCCCGCCCAGCAGCCCCCCTTTGCGCGATGATGACTCCCCCGGTCCCTACTTGAGGATGGCAGTAGAGGCGCGAAGGGTCCAGCCAGGCATGACCAGGCCCCTTGACGTTGGGCGCCATCAGCTTCAGGTACCAGCCTCGCTCCGGAGAGGCAATGGCATGTCGCAAGTCCATGGAGTAAGGTCAGGATGCCTCGGTGAAGAGGAACCAGCTGCAAAGGAATGGGGAGATCCATGCAAATAGGGATGAGCAGCCAAATTCTACTATAGGCCGTGAGAAAGACTCTACAATAACACACTGCCCTGCACAGCTGGAGCAAACCACGCACCTCCTATCACAATTCACACCTAAGGAGTCCAATCTTTGGGGCAGGATTTAACCATCCCGAGGATCTCGGCTGCTTTAAATAAGCCTCAAGCATCTAGGCTAGAGGTTCCCAGCCTCTTTGAGCCTGTGAGCACCTTCGGCGTTCTGACATCAGGTGGTGGGTGCGGCCACGGAATGGCTGCCACGGGAAGCAACGCCAACCACAAAACGTCAGGGAGTGAGAGCGTATGTTGAGTTGCCAGTTCCGGGTTGGGAAATACCTGGCGATTTGGGGCGAGTAGGAACCTCAGCCGGGTATAATGTCATAGACTCTCTGTAAAGCAGCCATTTTCTCCAGGGGGACTGATCTTGGCTGTCCGGAGATCTCCAAGTGCTTCCTGGAGCTTGGAGGGCCTCGTCTTGTGTTACCAGTGTTCCCTCTAAGCTGAGTTAGTGTGAGCTAGCTCACAGTTTTTTAGCCTCCAGCTCACACATTTTTGCCTTCACTCAGGAAGGACACCTCTAGAGCAAGCTAATTTATGCAGCAGCCAAATCACTCACTCACAACCTTAATGCCAGGAGCTCGCCAAGTAGAATTTTTGCTCACGACTCCACAGCTTAGAGGGAGCATTGTGTGTAACGCTTACAGTAACTCAGCTTTCAAACAGCAGCTCTGTTTAAAAGGATGAAAATCAAAAGGGGAAAACACTGCAATGAGACACTAACGTTTTAGTAAACTTTCCAGTGAATTACGATAATATATTTTACGATATTTTGACACAGGTAGGTTTATCATGTATACAATAGATTGATACAAATTGATACAAAGAACAAGGTGAATCCAAAAGTGCGCAAGGACTTGAGCAAAAATCATCAATTGGCCTAAGTGCTCTTATAGACTAATCGTCAACATCAATTTTCAATCAACAGAAGTCATCAAAGTCATCGAGTCAACATGAGTCGCGGAAATACGGGAAAATACTAAGATGCATCAGTCACTTACACTTGGCTATTTCAGCCTCGTCTTCTGATTGCATAATATAAAAATTTTGCAACCGCTTCCATTATTTCGCAATTAGAATTAAACAGAAGAAAGTGAACAATTGGAATCAACGTGAGTCATCACACGAGGGCCCCAGGCATAAGTTCACTCATTTCAATAAACTTCTTCAGTGAGACCAACAGATGATGTAAAAGGTATTCTCCAGGTTGTATAATATACCCTTCTAGGTCTCCTTCAATCCACTGAATGGCTATATTTCTAGATGGGCACCATCAACATTTCAGTCAAGAATTTCAATAAAGAATTCAATCAGAACATTCTGCCATTGATATAAGGAGGCTGTAGCAATGGCAGAAAGTTCTGATTGAATTTATAATATTGTCGAAGGCTTTCACGGCCGGAGTTCATTAGTTGTAGATTTTCCAGACTGTATGGCCGCGGTCTTGGCGTTGTAGGACCTGACGTTTCACCAGCAGCTGTGACTGGCATCCTCAGAGGTAACACAGAAAGATGGAGTAAGAGAGTACTCCATCTTTCTGTGTTATACCTCTGAGGATGCCAACAGCTGCTGGCAAAACGTCAGGTCCTACAATGCCAAGATTACAATGCAGCTGTGACTGGCATCCTCAGAGGTATAACACAGAAATATGGAGTACTCTCTTACTCCATCTTTCTGTGTTATACCTCTGAGGATGGCAGTCACAGCTGCTGGCAAAACGTCAGGTCCTACAATGCAGAGACCACGGCCATACAGCCCGGAAAATCCACAACAACATCTGATTGAATTCTTTATTGAAATGTTGAGGGTGCCCATACAGAAATTCTATATGGCCAGTCCTTTCTAAAACAACTTGGCTGGGGCCAGGGAAAGGGCCCCACTGTGCCCATCGAGCTCAAGTTGGAGACCCCTGCTCTAGTCTTTGTTGCTGAAAAGGTTTATGGACATTCCAACCTGTTGGGTTTGACCACATGAGCCACAGAACAGTAGCAAGATGCTAGGTAAGGGGGGGGGGGCGATTCGCATTGTGGTCCCTGGCATCTCTGGTTAAAAAGGATTCCAGGTAGCCAGTACTGGGAACTGCCCTGGAAGATTGCCTGAAGGAGCCATTGCTTGCCCAAGGCCCGGACTGGCTAGATTCCCAAGTAAGGCTGCTAGGCCCCCCTTGGCCACCGGTAGGAGATGGGCAGGCCAGGTAGGGTTGCCAGCTCCAGGTTGGAAAACTGGAGATTTGGGGATGTCGCCTGGGAAGGACAGGGGCCTCAGTGGGGTACAAGGCCATAGAGCCCACATAACACCCACCCTCCAGAGCATCCATTCTCTCCAGGGGAACGGATCTCTGTAGTCTGGAGGAGAGCTGGAATTGCGGGGGGGGGGGGGTCCCCAGGTCCCACCTGGAGGCTGGCATCCCTAACAGCTTCAGGCTGCCCGAGAAGGGGAACAGCAAGGCCAGAGGACGGGGCCGGAGGTGCCCCCTTTCCCACCACCACCCTGGCCCGGCATCTGCAGCGCTCCAGTCTTGCGGGGGGAGGGTGCTCGAACAGAGGTCGCCACGGAGAGGCCTCCCTGCAGGGCTTGCGCGCCCCGGCGGCTGCAGCGGGGCTCCCTCCCACGTGGGGCTCGGGGGCGGCCCAGCAGCGACGCTTCGAGGCTCGCCAAGGCCGCGGCTCGGAGGCCAGGCCAGGCGGGCCTCGGGGAGAAGCAGGAGCCTCTGAGCGCCCCCTTCCCGCGCCCAGTACCTAGCGGCGGCGGCGGCAGCAGCTCCCCTCCACGGGCCTCCGGAGCGACGCACTCGGTCGCAGGCGGGCCTGGAGGGGCCAAAGGACAGCCGTGGCCCCTCCTCGCCGGCGATTGCCAAGTCCGGCCCCGGGAGGAGCTGCGGGCCCCGGTGGGGGCTGTGCGGTTTGCCAGCCGCCCCTTGGACTGTAGGGCGACGGTGCTGGACGCAACCTTGCAAAGCCCACCCGAGGGCGCAGCCCGAACCAGTCGCGGTCGGCCCCCTTCCCCTTCCCTTGGCGCCCCGGCGGCCGCAGCCATTCTTGGGGCGGGGGAGTTTTCTGTAAGTGGCCTGAAGAAGAACAAGGCTTGAGTCCAGTGGCACCTTTACGACCCACAAAAGCTTATTCAAGCGGTATGAGCTTTCGTTTGCGCGCACACTTCCTCAGATACACTGAAGTGGACGTTAACAGTTCATGTATATAGGTGCACAGCAAATTAGCACACAACCAGTGTTCCCTCTAAGCTGAGTTAGTGTAAGCTAGGCTCACAGTTTTTTAGCCTCCGGCTCACACATTTTTGTCTTAGCTCAGGGAGGATGCCTCCAGAGCAAACTGATTTATGCAGTAGCCAAATAGCTTGCTGTCGACTTTAATGCCAGGAGCTCACAAACTAGAATTCTTGCTCACAAGATTCCACAGTTTAGAGGGAACATTGCACACAACTTAATGAAGATGCTTTGACATATGCAAAGAAGAAGTAACGTTGGCTTACAATTGCCTTCCCTTCCTCACCCCAAAACAGAGGTTGGTGGGGCTGAGAGAGCTCTGAGAGAACTGTGACTGGCCCAAGGTCACCCAGATGGCTGCATGTGGAGCAGTGGGGAATCAAACCCAGTTCTCCAGATTAGAGTCCACCAGTCTTAGCCACTACACCACACTAGCTCTTCAGACACCATTTGTTTGGATCTGTATGAACTTGGCCTGTCATTGCTGTTTAGTCTTTGTATGTGTCTAAACATCTTCATTAAGTTGTATGCTGATTTGCTGTTCACCTATGTAGACGCATCTCCCTATATACATCAACTGTTAACTTCCATTTCAGTGTATCTGAGGAAGTGTGCGTGCACACAAAAGCTCTTACCTTGAATAAACTTTTGTTGGTCTTAAAGGTGCCCCACTGGACTCAAACTTTGTTCTACTGCTTCAGACCAGCATGGCTGCCCACCTGGCCTGAAGGAGGAGATGGCACTTTCTTTTTGAACCTAGAAAAATTCAAGAGCCAGTGGTGTCAGGATCAGAGTTGCCGGACAATGATCTGGGAATCCCAGGTTCGAATGCAGAGAAGCTGTGGAAACTTTCTCGGTGAGCCCGTCACTCTCAGCCTAGCCTACCTCACAGGGTTTGTGGCAGTAGAAGAAAGCAAGCGTCCAGTAGCACCTTAATGGCTAACAGAATTTGTGGCAGGGGAGGAGCTTTCATGAGTCACGTGACTGACTAAAGCCCCTCCCCTGCCAAAAATTCTGTTAGTCTTTAAGGTGCTGCTGGACTCCTGCTCCTCCCCTGCCAAGACAGACTAACACGGCTCCCCATCTCGATCTATCTCCATTTGTTATTGTACTGAGGTTAAAATGGAGTAGGGGAGACCAGTGTTTGTAAGCTGCTTTTGGGTCCTCCTTGGAGAGAAAAGGTAAAGATTTCCCTTGATCGGACTCTGGGGGCAGTGCTCATCTTCGTTTCCAAGCCAAAGAGCCAGCGCTGTCCGAAGACTTTTCCATGGTCAGGAAACGCTGAGGTACACGGAACGCTGTTACCTTCCCACCGAAGTGGTACCGATTTATCTACTTGCAATTTCTTGCTTTTGAACTGCTAGGGGCCAGAGACAGGCACTCCATCATGCGGCACTACAGTCTCAAACTGCCAAACGTCCGGTCTGCAGCTCAGCATCTTAACCTCTAAGCCACTGTGGCCCCTAGGAGAGAATGTAAAGGTTTCCCTTGCTCGAAAGCAAGTTGAGGGTTGCGGTGCTCATCCCGCTTCAAAGCCGTTTCAAAGCCGAAGAGCCAGCGCTGTCCGAAGACGTTTCCGTGGTCATGTGGCCAGCATGACTAAACGCCAAGGCGCACGGGACGCTGTCATAGGCGTAATCTTCGTGGGGGCGGCGGGGCTTCAGCCCCCGC